ACAAGATGATGCAAAACTATACCATTTTATGTGCTATGTCAACTCTACCTTAGGGAAGAGAATGATTGGATGGGTCGGCAATGACATGAAAGATTTATCCATTGCGTTATATGCGGATGCTGACTTTGCGGGATGTGCACAATCTTTGAGGTCCACATCAGGTTCTCATATGCATATTCAGGGGAAACGTACTCGGTTTCCGTTAGCTGGTGGAAGCAAACACCAGGGGTGTGTGAGCCATTCTACACCTGAAGCTGAGATCGTAGCCGCTGATGTAACCCTTCGAACAATGGGTCTTCCTGCGCTCAGTATTTGGGAAACGCTTACAGAATCTTCTCCCAAGTTGTTGTTTCATGATGACAACCAAGGGATGATTGGTGTGGTTCGTTCTGGAAGAAATCCAACAACGCGGCATTTGGAAAGGACTCATGGAATTTCTATCACGTCATTGCATGAGCATTTCAGCAAAGATCACTTTGTTCTCATATATGAGATCACAGCGAAGATGGCCGCGGACATCCACACAAAAGGTTTTACAAATCCACTTGCCTGGAAAAAGGCATGCATGTTGATCAATCTTTTGGAACCCGAAGACCTTGGTTCGAAGCAATTGGCAGACCTAGTGCAGCCCATTACGGATGTTGACACTACAGTTCGTCAAGTTTTTCAGTCAAGGACGGATGAAGTTCCCAATTTTCCATACACTGAAACACCCATATTGCCACCTGAGGTGTACCGTAAGGGTCTTTCAAGTCGAGAAAAGCTTCAAGAGCTACCTGGTATGGATCCTATCTTTGTGATCAAAACCCCTACATTGTTCAGAACAAGACCAGCTGGTGTCAAATTTCCTGCAGATTGCCTTCGGAGCACCTGGATCTTAGTCCACGGGAAGTGGGAACGAGTTGAGGATCGTGTTCCCCATTGTTATAACAATTACGTTTTGACAAATGGATTGAAAGGGCATGTTTTCAATATCATTATCCTACTTCCGCTCCGATTGTCTCACTGCCCGCATGTGCGTCGACGGCGGCCAGAGAACAGTTCTCACGTGCGGCGACGTTTGAACTGGACAATCATCCGAGCCTCACATTCAGTACTGAAATACTCTTTGAACAAGCTCAACGTACTCAGAAGATTCCGTTTACGTTACACGACGGACATCCCATGACTATAAGGGTGATCAATGCCCTAGTACGCCTTGTTCATGGGGGGAGAGGCATGGAGGATTCAAAGTCGTCAAGTTCCAAAACAAAAGATTCAAAGTCGCCAAGTTCCAAAACAAAGAGTTTACAGTCAACAAAATCGCATATACGGAGAAGAAACACCAAGAAAATAGCATTAGCAACTGAATGTGGTCATGATGAAATTCCTGTTCGTGATAAATGGAGATGGATAGGTAATCATGTTCTGGAAAGGATCCACAACATACCAAGAAGAGAAATGTTCGTTCCAAGTGATTGTGAAGATTGTCCCTGTGATCATCGTTTGATTCAAGATTGGAGAGAAATTCAATTGAAGTTCCAGTCGAATGTGAGGGTGGACAAAAGTAATTGGCGTCTCCCTGGTGATAATGGAGAAAGGTTAAACAATCGAAATGAATTCTGGACTGGAAAATCTATCTTTCGCGTGTTGAGACATTAGGAGGTTCTTCCGATTGCGAGTTACATTATGGATGATAATCTGATGGCTTGTGTTCACGCCATGGGTCTGGACATCATTTCACCGAACAGAATATTTATCCCCCACACATATCGGATGATGATCGAAGAGAACAAGAATGACAATTGGTTGAACATATTTGCGGACAGTCTGATCAATTTATTATTGGTTCGTGACAATGGGCAATGCTTGAAGTATACATTCGTCAGATCTATTCCCGATCTCGAGAGTACAAAATATTTGGGGAAGAACGTCACTATTACATTGCAAGAATTGCCCGAAAGTACACCCGCTATGATATTGATGTGTGCTGAGCCTTCGAATTTGATAACAAAGAGATATAGTGCAATTATGGATACATCTATTTATCTGGAATTGATTACGGAGGATGATAACCTTCTCTCCAGATATGGGAGTGCGAAGTGGAGGAGATGCCTCCGCAGCAACAAGGATTGCGTCTTCTTCGCTGGACCTTGCACAGGCGGATCTCCATGGAACAGGCTGAACAAAAGAGTCAGTTGGCTTACTGCTCATTTGATTAACGCCAAAGCACGTCTATACTGGAAGTTATGGGAAGAGTTTTCAAATTGTCTTCTGAAAGTGATCAAGTTGGATGCCATGGCACTATTGGAATTACCAAGAGGTTGCGACTATTGGCATGATGAACGGATGAAGTGCATAATTGAAGGTACAGACTCACATGTCCATGACTTTGACGGATGTATGTATGGTCTGAAAACACAGTTTGATGATCGTTATATTCCTATTAAGAAGCCATGGAGGATTATATCGTGGGGGATCGAGTTTAATTTACACAAGAAATGTGACCGAAGACATGATCATGGGAAGTGTGAAGGTCGTGAAACAAGGGTCGCTCAGACCTACACCCAGCAGATCGTCGACATCATCTTGAAAACGATATGTCGGAACGCGTCTATTCGGTTCAAGAAGTCGTTGTCAAATGAAGATGACACATGCAGCAGTTGTATGCATGATAAACGTTCCATCAAGAAGACAGCGGTATCAGTCGCATACCACAATGATGAAGTTGCAGCAGATCTCATGTGGTTGATGATGTTTCACAAGAACAGATGTCGGATCAATGTTGACCCTGGTTTCTCAGGACATTCAACTATGGGAAGTCAATCCTTCAAGACTATTGCGGCTTCTCAACCATTGTGTGACACCGGACGAGTGATCGGAAACCGGTTCGGACGTCGCCGACCGGGAGTACGTGATCTCGAAAGGGCTCACTCGCTGTGCACCACCGAACAGGGGATCGGAAACTGGATCGGACGTCGCCGACCAGGATTACGTGAACCGATCGGTAAGGGTGCCATGTCGAACTACACGCAGATTATTGGTTCTGCGCAACATGATCTCAACGACATCGGCAAGATCCTCATCACGTTGAGAGAGAATGGCAGATAAGGTGTCATCCCAGCCATGTACAAGGAGTATGACCCGACCATCAACAGCCAGCCTGACGTGACGGTCAACAAGTGGCATGCGATTGGAATTAGTCCGATCGCGGCGGCTTCAGCCTGCTACTTGGGGAAGGTGCCATGGAACCGGTCCGAGGTGGAGGCGATCACACTGTACCTCCAGCTCCTGGAGCTGATCAAGAACCAGGAGGAGCTCAACACTGGAGCTAAAAGATTCTTGGACAAATGCACCACCTACATGAAGACCTTTGTTCAACTGGCATCTCGGAGCAATCACAAAGTTCTTGGGTTTTGCACATCAATGAATTGGGAAACATGTGGGAGTGCATTAAGAACTTCCACGTACCTCATCCGATTCGAACCGATGGAGCATTTACAGTATCGATGCTACGTGATCACCTTCGTGAATTCAAGCTTCGACCTTTCGGAGGTGACCTACGAGGTGTGAACCAATTTGTTCCGGCAGAGGACACCTGGTTGAGCGCTACAAGGAAGAAGGACGGAGTTCTCAATCCGTCTGTCCCTGATACGCCCTTCACCATCTCGTTCAGGGCGATTCATCGAGAGCTCCACTACTTCGACATGGGCACGTCCTGGCAGTCGACATCAACCCAGAACACGTTCAATGCGATGCTCGATGAGTGGCAACGTCAAGTCATCCATCTTGGGCACGCATGGAGATGCTACAACCAAAAGGTCGACGATGAGGGAGAGATGATAGAGCTTATGAGGTTGGAGACGACAATCAACGACCTCATCGAGCAGAACGCCAAGCTGGGCCGCGAACGAGCTGCCGCGATGAATCATTTCACCTGCATCTTGGCTCTATCGCCGCCGATCTTCAGGGCCAGGGCGAAGCTGGATAGGTTGTGGCACTTTTCCGAGATTGCAAGGGCGAACGTCAGGAAGATTGACGACTATTTTGCCAAGATTCAACAATCTCTGATGCTCACTTCGGAAATCTTGCAGAACCATGGCTACAACGTTATCAACGTTGAGGAGGGCAACCACGGTGAGATCAAGAAAAGAAACAAATGCTTTTCTGCCTTGAGGGATTTCATGACAACCCTCTCTGAGACTCAGGCTGGTGGAGGACAACCTGGAGTACAAGTGGCTGCAAGTGGATGGAGAAAAGTCTTGAGGTTTGGTGACGGAGTTTGGCCACCAGAACCGCCGAGGTCGTGGATTCCTGAATGGGTCACGATCCAGGACCCAGCAGTGCCTGTACCAAGGGTCAACAGGTTCACGCCGAAGCCACCTCCTACGCCACCACCTGGATACAAGGCACCACCACAGCCTTACCCATCGGCTCAACCACCACCGCCGAAGGCAAGACCGACATCACCATCGGCACCACCAGGACCGAGTGCATCGGGATCTCAAGCGTCAAGTTCAGCTGGACCACCACCGCCACAGGCGGTACCTAACCCTGCGGCGAAACCAATGCCAAGGCGTGACACTCCAGCAGCGGACTATGTCCCACCAATAACACCATCCAATGTGATCACATATTGCAGAGTGTTGATAGACTATACGGGGACTCAGGTGAGATCGATCTTGAATTCCCATGTGAGTACCTCTGACACCGAGTTCGCATTGTCGTATGTCCAAGGACCAATGGCACACAATGTGCAATCAACTTGGCGTCAATATCTCAGGAGGGTAGCTACCTATACCTGCTTATGTTTTGGACTCGCCAATGCAAGAGAGATTGGTGAAGCATCCTATCCATAGAGCGACATGGAATGGCTGAGGATCTATAACGCTGCAACAAAGTGTGGAGGATTGGTTTACCAGAACTACTACCTCTCTGTTGGGTCCATGACAATCATGGTGGAGAAAAATGATGATGTACGGGCCACCGATCGCAGCTACGACAAGTGGAAGCGAGGCCTGATGTCAGGCATCGGTGGGACCATCGTGGATAAGCCAATGGTGAGAAAGGAAAAAGATGAATTGGCAGGAAAGTTCAGGTTTGGCAAAACCATTTTGATTACGGATCTCAATTACAAGTGCCAAGCGAACTCGGGGGGAACAACGAACATCCAGTATGGGCTCGATGAGATGGGATATGTCGTCACGGTAGTTGACATCAACAGCTTCAAGAGCGTGACCAGAGCCCAGAAGTTCCTCGATGCAGTCGAGCACTTGATCAAGAGCGTGATGCCAAACATTACGGCCGAGGAGAATGTGACCATCCATTTCTGGATATCATTTGCATTCCTCATCACGGATACTCATCCATACCACGTTTGGGTTGAGAGGAACTATGCAGAGAGGCTCGCCGAAGCGATCCGAAGGGTCGACAAGTTGGCGACGAGACCGATCTTTGTGTCACTTTGCAAAGATCCAAGATTTCATGGTATCCGATCGGGCATTCAGGAAGTCGTCATCGACTCAGCCGACATCCTGAGAAGCTTCGGAATCATGGTTACAACTGATGATGGGATGTGGCGATTGATGTATGGTCATGCCGACAATCACTATATGAACAATCAAAATAGGCCGGAAAGATTGGGAGTCTTCGCCATCATGGAGAAGTTTTTGTTTCGACAGAGGGTGTTATTGATGTGTTCCCTCAACGTCGAAGCTGCGAAGGGATTGAATGACATGGTGAGGGAATCTTCCATGAAGGTCGGCATCAACCTGGAGCTGATGGAGGATGTGCTCAAAGAGCCTCTTTCAATTCAAATCGGAACAGGAGGCGGAGTACCTGACACCGCGAGCACGGAATCAACACGCCCAGGTACCGTTGGAGGTGGAAGAAAATCAAATGTCGAGTATGAGAAGGCACCATGGATCGAGGCCACAGTCAGATCGGTTCTTCCTGAGCCATCGGCAAACATCGACGAGATGTGGTTCTACGTTAACCATGGGCGAGATGAGATGATCCTATGTCAAGGACATTATCTTGGGGATGATGATGAAGTCATGCCGACTGATCAAATGAGGCAAGACTTCAAATGTGGAAAAGAATGCATCGCTTGCCGAGCAAGCGAGACGATGAGGGACTACCAACTTTGGCCGCCAGAATACCAGAAAAAGACGATCGTGAAAACGGCGGCACGGTCCCGTGCATTCTTCAACATCATGTTGGAATCAGGCAATCCAGTGACAGACCCTCAGAAGGACTTCGTGCAGTTCCTCAAGGACATCACCAAATCGATGGTGGGCAACAAAGGTTGCGAGCACGGTGAGATCCTCATGAAAGCGCTGTCGCACTTTGGTATGGTCAGAGTTCCCAGAGATCGGGTCAAGCAGATCTTCGTTGGGAAACGTGGAAGACAATACGGTGTCATCCGAGAAGAGTTCACTCTGGGTGATGGCAACGATGCCCATGATCGATTTGTATATCGTGTTACCAAGGCCTATGGGAATATCTTCTACAAGGACTATCTCAAGATGGTGCTCGGAGATGATTTCACGGATGTTATGGGATATGCTGATGCAACGGCCGAGAAATGTGGAGATGTGGTCGAAATGTGGCTTGGAATGTTAGATTTGGCCAACATGACGAAGTCCCAGATCACATTCATGGAGACAAAGGCCGATCCAGGCGAGCTTCTTGCAGGCCTGGAAGCATCTATCAACATCTTCCATGGGACGACAAGATCTACCACAACTCCAAACACGAAGAAAGGTGGATCGAGGATCACCGAACCTACCAACTATGAGGAGACATTGGTGAACCAAATCCTGCGTGACATCCCGATGTACCATGGATTGCAGTATGCATGCCTGATTGAGGACAAGGAGATCAGCGTTATCAATGAAAACTACATGAGATCCAAAACTGATGATACCAATGATGACAACATGGAGTCCGAAGATCCAAGGACCGGGGATGGTACGTCGACCACCCCAGGACCGACGACCGGAGGAGCTGGTGCTAGTGCGGAAGGGGCAGGTTCGTCGACCACCCCGGACATGCACGGAGCGCCTAAATCTCCATCGAATCCTGAAGAGGAGTTCCAGATCTCTCAGGACAAGGGTGCCATCGTCGAGGCCATCAACGCGCTCTTTGCCCTCGCGGACGACAACAACGTCTGCCTAAAATGTGGTGAAAGTGGCCATCCCAACTATGAATGTCCCAAGCAAGGCAATGATCCAGTGAAGTCAGCATTGATCAACTTGAGGAAGAAACTTCAGGGTGACGATGTGGAGAAGGATGATGCTCCCAGAAGAGATGATGACGAGGAGCAACGATTCCGCCAGGAGAACTACAAAGCAACCAGGGCTGGAGAGTACATGTACCTTCAAGCAATCCCACTTTCAGTCATTGGAGACCGTGCCCATGGAGAAAAGAGCATTAATGGAGTGAGAGCCGAAGAGAAGGGCCCCAGATCAAAAGGCGAGCTGAACGACATTGTCGACACAGCAAGTCAAAGGGGCATCACTATGACTTACAAAGAGATGAAGTCGGCTGTTCCTTACTCCGACCACAGGATGTACAAGAAGCTCAACATCGGCTCGGATATCGGGAAGCTCAAGATTCTTCCGGTCAACGGTGGCAAGTTTTACTCCGAACGCTTCGTCGGACCAGGAGTAGAGTATCCTCTACCGACCGAATCCAGAGCCAACCGTGTCTTCATGGAGGATTGGGAGAAGACGTACAGCTACTACTTCAACAAGGCCCTGAGACACCACATCAGACGAAGAGAGGTGTGGGAAAGAGCTTCTGGCAGAAGGGTAACGACGTTTTCCGGGCTCAGATGTGATGAAGCTGGATGGGTGGACATTATGGAATTCCTACATCACCCATGGATCTTCGATCACGAGCAGGTTAAGACGGAGGATGACGGACATGTTGATGTCGACTACCGAGCGGAGCGCATCAAGACCATGATCAAGACTGTTTGGTCAGAGTTTCAAGAGAAGAACAAAATCCGCATCCAATTCCTATGCATCGTTTTCGACTCTACCTTCGACAAGCCCGATGATTACCTCAAGAAGGTCATGGGAGTCGGTGATGATATCCATGATTTCATTGCACAACGTGGTGAAGTCTTCCTAGTACCCATTGCTGTGCGTTCACCTGGAGGATTTTCTGCCCGTGGATCAGATTTTCGCCTTGACTATTGCAAGATTTGTCACCCGATCACAACGAAGATCGCAGACGATATTTGGTTCTGCTATCATATCACTGAGTTCAAGAATGTGATCGGCATCATCAAAGAAGGTTTACGACCTGGAGGACACCGAGGAGGACGAACACAAGTTTTCCTCAACCCATTTGTGCCATGGGACAAGCGATACAGGGAAATCCTGGGAGGACAACTGACATACCTAGGACAACCCCGCATGGTCCTTGCATTCAGCGTTCATAGACTCATGAGTCTCGGAGTCATGATCAACGCATCTGGCCAAATGGTGGTGAATGGAAACATTCCATTTTCTGAGGTGATCGCAGCGTGGTATCAGAACAACAACTATGATTGGGAACGATTAGTGGTTGATTCTGGAAAATTTCAATTGGTAAGATCATGTCAGGAACCAAAGGAAATTGCAACGGCAAACACGGTGCTTCGTGTCTCCAAAACCTTGCTGGACGATATTGACAGCGGGGACAATATCCCGTTCTACGACAAGTTCATCGAGGATGTTGCAAAACTTAAATTACTCAGTGGAGCCCTCGACCCTAACAGCGAGCTGAGGAACGACATCGTGACGTTCATTTCCGAGAACTACACTCCGGGAGAAGCTGGACACTTGATTTGCCCAACATGCCTTACTGAAACTCCAAACATTCTATCCATCTGCACCAGATGCCATGGAACGATTGTTAGCTGGGGGGAGAAAGAAGCAGAGAAAGATGAAAGCACTGCCCCTGGGATGCCTGAAAAAGAAAGGCATGAAAGCGGAGATGGTCAAGATGCCAATGACGATGACGTCGAGATGGAGAACGAGAACCAGGAGGAGATTGACAGATTGGTCAGGGAGTCAAAGAAGAACACCGAAGAGGCTCCGGATGATGACATTGACATGACCGACGCCAAATCGAGCCACGAGAACGTCAAACCTGAAGAAGAACGTCGACGCAATGTACCTGATCGGAAAGTTGTATTCGGTAACAACACCAAAGAGCAACAAAAAGAAGAAGAAGATGAAAAGATTGCCAAAGAACAAGACCAAGATGAAGAGCGTCGAGAAGCAAGAATGCGATTGCCTATGTGGACAACGAGGATCATCCAAACTTCACTAATCCAATGTATCGACATCGCCCAGAATGAGGACGCCATCGACAGCACAGCTCGCGCGATGGACTGCATGATTCTGAGCTACCTTAAAGATCGATATCGATTATTTCATCTATGGACTTCAGTGGCGCCAGCACAGCAGTATCATGACCACGTGACCAGACTCAAGGTTATCCCTGAATTTGACGGATACATTCCATACGTGGGCGAGACTGCAGATGGTGAACTGAAAGAACCAACGGAAGCACAATTGATCGCTTCATTCCATGCGAATGCCAAGAATGGAAAGATCGGCGGACGTGATTTGGAAACCTATTTGAAGGGAGTGAATGGTATTCGAGTGCTTTGCAAGATTATAAAGTACTTGATCCAGATTGGCATCACCCCTCAGCTCATCTTCTCCAAGGTTGCCGACAACACGGACGAGGACGACGAGCGGCAAGCAGAAGCACGACGGGAATCATCTGACTTCGTCAGGAAGATTATCTCCGGTGCCTTTGCCGTACGTTCCTATGACTATTTTCGAGTCACACCACCCCGACGGGACGATCATATTCATATTGATCCTGTAGAACTAGCATGTGCAGTGACGGAAAGATGCAGAACATTCGCCATCCTCGTGACGCTCAACAAGATCGGCCTGGAGCTACCTCAACAACTACGCAAAGTATGGCAAGGTAAGCTCAAAGCTGTACAACAGAGCGCAGCACAGATGGCTACATGTCTCAGATCTCTTGATCCTGCAGAACGTGAAATTGCCAGGCAATATGTTCGAGCACTTGGTGATGAACAACCCGCAGAAGAACAGGCTTCGGCGAACACCAAGGAGACCGACACTGGCAAGAAACGGCGCAAAAGATGAGTTCCTCTAGATCTATGTCAATGAAGAGGTCTTATGACGAGGATTCTGAGTGCCGGGCTAATTCGTATGAGTCTCATGCATTCAGGATGCGAAGATTTCCTGATGCAAGAGAACACATTTAAAGGGCGCATGAACCTAGGATCTAATTCGGTAGGTGCGTGGAAACCGGTACGGGCGTCGCCGTCCGGGAGTACACAATTCTGCGAATTAAGTAGATCAGCGGCTTACAACTTTTGGCTACGTATAAAGGGAGCATAATTCGAACATAGTTAGGACATCTTTGACTGTCTTTTAACTGTTTAAACTCCTGTGTCCAATGCCTCGACCAACGTTCGTCGACGTGGTCTGAGAGCGTTGGACATGGGGGGTGTGAAAGCACAGTAGGCGACAATCCAGCAGTAATTCAAAGCATTATGTCCTTAGCTTGTTTCTGACCGCTATGCGCGGCTCAAGACTAATATCGCTCCTACACAGATGGAAAAGTGCGCGTTGCTCGCTGATCGGCTTTGGGGACATTGAGGAGGTGAAGATCAGGCCCAAGGTGGAATACAACAACAAAATTTGGGCATTACCCATTCACAAATATTATATTTAAGAAAAATAATGTCATTTATAAATATATTAAATAAATTTGAATTAATGGCGGGATTCGACCCATGTGATAAAGATGGTGTGTGATAAAGTGGTGTGTGATAAAGTGGTATATGATAAAGTAGTTTGTGAAAGATGGTATATGATAAAGTGGTGTGGGAAAAATTATGTATGATAAAGTATGGGGAGT